GGCAGAGCGGTGCTGGTTTGTCTGCGTGGTGGGGAAGCAAACGCGAAGCAGGTGATGGGAAGGAAGTGCAAGGAGCCAGCCCGAGGGTGAAACGTGTTTGGGAAATGCGGAGCTGTCGGGTAGATTGGTTCGAAAATGTCACATTTGGAGACATGAGTAAGCTTTGGCAAAGGATCTGAAATTTTGATGTCATTAGAATGATAAAAAAATAGCAAATTTCCACCGTTACTGAAAACAACTCCCGAGTTCTTTGTTTTTTCTATTCTATAAGGTTGTCATGACTAGCCTAAATAGTATTTTGCTGTGTGTGATAAATAGGAAACGGTGGAAAAAATTCTCTCTGAAGTTTGTGTGTAACTGAGCATAACTTTTAGTTCTGGGTGTACATTGAAGTTCTAGTCTCGTTGCTTTATTTTGTTAAATCGTGCGGTGTATCTTTTATTTAAATATTGAGTTTAACGTATCTCAGATGGGCAGTCGCTGTTCAGAGGGTTTTTTTCCTGGACTAAATAGCTTAGTCTGGCGTAGAGGCTTCAAAGTAAATAGGTAGCTTATCGCTATTCAACAGAAATCCCTGGTCTTAAGAGAAAAAACTGTCTTTTTTCCTGCCGAGCAAACACAGAGCTGGCGTGTTAGACTATTCGGAGACCTCCGAGGCTCAGCAGGCAACTTACTTTTGATTATTGTTTAAACACAGAGAATTTAAATGCGAATGCTTTAACTTGCTGCCAGCCAACGTGTTCTTGGGAAACGTGTGTGGCTTCTCGAGTCCCTGCTCGGTTAGTTGCTCAGGAAGACGTCTGGTGTTTGTTAACCAGCTTAAACCCCCTCGTGCTCTTTGCTGGTGCCGGGAGGGCGGCTGCAGAGCCGTGGAAGTCGGGCTCTTGCTGCACGTGACGCGTCCTCCAGGGCTTTTAATTAGAGTTAAAAGCGAGTCATCTCTGCTGGCTGGAGGATCATTGATCTGGTTTATTAAAAGCTGATTCGTGCAACGTGAGCAAAAAAAAGGCAGCGACAGGACTGAAGTAGCCCCCGGCTGTTCTCATCAAAGCGTGGCTGGCGTCCGTCACCCGCGTGGAACGGGCACAGCGGGTAAAAATAAGGAAAAGCACGTGGCCAGCAGCGGTGCTCCTGTCTGCGTGCGTCCCGCTGTCGCTGCGGCCGCCGTGTCACCGGTGACCTGCACGGACGGGGCCTCTGGGAGCGGTGAGAAGGCTCTAAACAACTCTGGCCTCTAGGCTGGGTAAAAACCGTCGGCTCTTGTGCAAACTGTTGTGCCCGGTGTCAGCCCGTGCCGCTCTTTAATAGTCTTAAACTCTGCATGGCAGCGGGTCTTGAGAATGAAGATGTTTCTGCAGAAACTAAACCTCCCTTTCTGGAGCAAGATTGGGATGGTAGGGCCGAGGATTGCTGCAGGTTACCCGCTTCCACGTCACTCTGTTTCAAATGAACTCACCACATCGTGTCGATTAAGAAGTGCTTTTTTGGCGTGGATCCTCCCTTTCCTCCCTCCCGGGAGGCACAGACGGTGCTTCCCAGCCTGGGGAGCTCCATCTTCCCACTGAGAACGTACCCCAAGGTCTTCCTGTGCTGGAGCTGATCGCTTACTGACGCAACCGTGCCCAAAAAGACGACAGCGCTGCCTTGTTGGATTTACAAATGGCCTAAATCGATGGCTCTATCCAGGAGAGGAGCCTCCCGGGGTCGTCCTGGGCTTTGAAGCTGCGCAATGACGTGTGAAGCACCGGGATGGTTCCCGGGCCGAGTACGCAGAAACCTGGCGATGGTCTGGACTTCAGAGAAACTCTTTCTTTTAATATATTCAACACAGTTTTGCAGATCAAAACCCCCCTGTCTTATAAGGGACTTCCTAAGAGAGAGAGAGAGAGACACACACGTATATTTTTAGAATGCGAATAACTTGGTTTTATGTAAGAACTGAGTGCCAGACCTGAATCTGTCATTCCCAGATACGCAGCTGGGACTGTGGATCCCGAATTCACAGCACGGAATACCAAGATTTGTCCTTTTCCCAGGCATCGTTAATAAAGCAGCAGGATCAAGATTTAATTTTTATTTGACCCACTTGTTCTTTACATTAAAAACTGTGTCATGGACGCCTTGGCACATCACTTGCATTGGCAAAATAAGTTCCTCTAACTGTGTCCCTGTTTTGGGGTACGTTTGAAACCAGTCCTTCCCTCGGTAAGAAATGCTCTTTCATTGCATTTGAGTTTATGTCATGATTTGTACAGCAACTCTGGGAGTGTAAACAGTGTAAAACAAAACAAGTATTAACTCACAGATTATTGACGTTGTCCCTGTAGGCCGGTGTGAGTGTTGGTCCCGTCTGTAAATCCGCTGCCGCTCAGTAGTTCGGCACAGGAATTAAAGGAGTTGCAGCCAGGCTTCTGAGGAGGTATTTGCCCGTTAAAACCCGTAGCTGCAGTATTACTTGAGGGATAAGGATCGCTTTTATGATAGACAGCCTCCTATGCCGTAGAATTGAGGTGGGAGATGCTTTGGTGCACAGCCCTAGAGCAGCTCGCTATGGCATCCAGCAAAACGAGGAGAAAACAAACGTGGATATATTACTTCATAACTTAAAACTACTTTCCCGTGTTGTACTCCTTAAATCTTTTAAGTGTGATGTGGTGAAATCCTTTTTGTAAGAGCAGGAAGGGAATAAACCAATTTAGCACAGTCCCTTTGTGGGTTTAAATTATCTCTTTTTACTGTGCAAGTTCTGAATTCTTTTCTTCCGCAGTTGAATAAAAAATCCATCTTTCCATTTAGCGTGTACTAAGCCTCTCTGCTGCGCTGATATTTCTAGATTTTTTTTTTTTCCAGTGACTGGGGAGGCTTAATGGGATGCTCCACTTTTCTTTCCGAGTCCTCTTTCAGTTCATTTGTAGTTCAGAAACGCTAAATATTTCGGCAGCGTTGCCAGGAAGCTGCGGGCGCAGCTGCCCCTGCCCTGCAGCAGCCCCTGCTCTTCCCTGGAGCTGCAAGGAGAGCGTCGGAAACGCTTTGCACTGCTCCAAATTCTCTGCTGCCCAAGGCAGCAGAACAAAAATAAAATAAAAGCTGTGTATAACGGCATAGCCAGGACCTTTTCGTAGCTATGGAGCCTGGTTAAAACCAGGGAGTAACGGGCACGGGGTAATGGGGACGTGAAAAGTGTGATGATGGTGTTTCCCCTTCCCTCTCGGCCCATCCCCTGGTAAGCCAGATGGTGTAATTAATTTGGAGGGTTAGAGGTAGGGGTGAAGTGTGTCAGAGATGTCATTCCCTATTTAAAAGTGAGTTATTCCTTTGTGTAAAAAAAAAAGAGCAGAGCATATTTGTTGAGGTCATCCTGGAAGCATCATCACTAAAAATGATCTGCTGATGCAGAAAATTGGATTTATTCTTATGCTAGCATTTCCATAAAAATACAATTATATATAAATTTATGTTCTCTAAAAGCTTGTAGTAAACTGGGCTTTCGGAAAATAAGACACTTATCTTTTAAACTCCAGTTTTAAATGACCAGATGGTGCTTACAGTATGGAAGCATAAAACTGGGGAGAGATAATTGATTATTTCCATTTAAAAAGGGGGGGGGGTGGAACTCGAGGTGAAACTCCCTTTTAATTGCTGTGTGATTAACTCCTGCTCATCAGCAGAATATCTGCAATACCTGCAGCCCTTTCGGGAGCACCTTGGTGAAGTCCCCGCTGGGCAGGTCCAGCACCGCTGTGCTGGCCTGGGGCTGCGCGAGCCCCCCGGCTCAGTGGCCCGGTGGCCCCTGGGGATGTCAGATGGGGCTACAATTAAGCAAAGGGTTTAAAGCTTAACTCAGCGGCTCCGATACTGCGGCTTACTGGGGAAATTAATCTTTTGTTTAATAAGGATTTTATGAAGTGTATCTTAAACGTTCCTGGGTGTTTGAAAAACGCACGTGTCGTCGGTTTGAAGGACTTCCTTCCTCAGCAGAAGTGGGGTCTTCTGAGCAAACGTGCTTAAATCACCTCTGCTTCTGGATGTGTTCTCACGCTGCTCAGCCTTGCTCCTCTTTGGGGCTCTGACGGTGGCGTTGGAGCGCGCTTCGTGCAGCAGGAGGTTTATCGTGCAGGAAAAAAAATAAAAAAATTAAAAAATAAAAGAAAATCCCCAGAGAGGGTTTACATGGTTTCTGCCTTCTCCTGGGGGACTGGGACACGTGAGCCCCCGAGCGTGTCCGTGGAGGTCCTGTCCCCAGGGGCAGTCCTGTGCTTTCCCAGTCCCTCCTGTGCTGCTTCTGGAGGCTCCTGGCTCGAGGCCACGGGCTGTGAGCTGCTTGTTCCTCCTCATGCACGTTATTGGTTTTCAGAGTGCATTTGAGGTGGGATAACACCAAGAATCGATCCAGCCTTGAGCGCTGAGTTTCTTCGCAGAAAATGTTTATAGCTTATGCTTTAAAAAAAAAAAAAGGAGGGACCAAAAATAGCCATCCCTTTTTCTGCAGGTATCTCGGCTTTCAGCTGTGTGAACTGCAAATGTTTCTGTAGGATTTAGGTTTTGATGAGGGGGCTGTCTGGTGGGAAATCCCTCTTGGGATGGTTATATTCTGCTGAGGGTTTCTCTTCCCCGGGCGCGCTGAGGCCGGTGAGAGTTTGTTCGCTGGTGGCTGCTGAGCATCTCGTTACCATCGAGCTTTTGGTCGCCCCGCGGTCGCCGCCGTTTCTTGGCGTCCTTGGCGTTCGCTGAAACAATCTGTTGTCGCAGCCGGGAGGCGAATCGTGGCTTGGTACGTTTGATCTCGTGGCTTATAGAGGGGGGAAAAAAAACCCCAATTCTCTTCTAGGTGCCCCTGCCTGTCCCCTTCCCACCGAACAGCCCCGTGGTCTGCGCGTGGCGATGCTCCGGCTGGGCGGGCTGCGCCGAGGCTCTGAATGAGCCGAACCACCAGCTCTGGCTGGAAGCCCCACGCCCTAAAAACCTCTCCCCTCTCTGTTCTCTGCAGGTATGGTGTGAATATGCGGTGCTTGGCAGCTCGGGTCAACTACAAGACTCTGATCATCATCTGCGCCCTCTTCACGCTGGTGATGGTGCTGCTCTGGAACCGGTGCTCCTCCGACAGAGCCGGCCCGGCCCCCCCCAGCCTCCC